ATTCTTCCATAACAGACAGAGGACTTTGTTAAATTGTAAATGAGTATTACTTCAAGCACTCTGTGGAAATATATCCTCCCCCTATAGCCCATACGTTATTTCTGCTTAGTTATAGTGGCTCACATTTCCCGTAACTATCAGAGAGAACTTAATTCAACTCACACCACATCACTTTACAATTGTGCAGCTCTCTTAATCAACCTTTGTATCAGCCACGAATGTGCAGTATGACCTAATTTGAAAATGTCTCAAAGTGCTGACTCAAACTGTTAGTGAATAAAGGCTAGTCATTACCATTATGACACTAATGTGATGCAAAATAAAATTGAGTTGCATCAGCTGAACATTAGTTTGCAAAAATATTAGTGATTGAATCCATTTTCTGTTCATATTTTATTTATACTTATATATGTGTACATATATACATATGCATATATTTATTTTTTGTTTGAAACAGGCTTGCGACAAAATTTTTAAGGGCAGAGGAAGGAAGCCACATTTGAACACTGGAAAAAGACACTGGGTTAAATGCTGATCATATGTCTATCGTGATCTCTTCTCTATAAGATGAAGACATGTTGCTGAAATCTTATGAGGATATTTATATGCACATAAGCAACAGCATATGAAAATTATCATCTAGTCCTGTACTTTGGTGCTAGATTCCAAGGTTTCTAAGAGCCCTGCCACTTCTTACTACATATTACTCAAAAATTCTGACTTTGTATTTACAAATAACAAAGATTTGAGATTTATTTCTTTCATGGGCCTTCTTTCCTTTTTCCTTACTTGAAAAAAAATTACTTTGAAGATAGAAATACCTTTAATAAACACCGTCATTAGTTACTTATGAACAAAAGAAAGTGAGACATAAAGCCAGACATTCTTTAGCCTCATCCCTACTGATGATACTTTGTGGACAGCAACATCAATGATCTTTTTCTTACAGAATTCAGATGGTTTGGAGGAAAAACTCATGGGCTTATTTAATACCTACGCATCCTAAAACTGGTATTGGTTTCAAATTCTAAGCTGATAAGTAGTTATTGAAAATAAATCAGCAGGAACCTCTCTTAAATTAGAGAAATTTCCTAATAGTAAATAAGAAACTCCACCCTGTATCTCATTTTGGATCTCCAGAATTCTGAAAATTCTGAACATAAAAGTGATGTATTAGCGATTAAATACTTCTGATTTTATTTCTTTAATGGTTCTAACAAACTTAGCACACAAATACAAAAGAGATACATTGTCTTTTAAAATTGTCGAGGACAAGAAGTTTTGGCTATCAAGAAAGTATTTGACCTGCTTTCAATTGAGAGAGTATATGTCTTCATAATATATCACTGTAAGTGATCAGTAGAGAATACAGCTAAAGTAAAATACTGGCAAGCTCTGTTCATTCACTTTTTAGAAAAACAAGTAAAACCTTCCAGCAAGATGTGTAGAAATTTTCTACTATGTAATAACTTTCATATTTGAATCCATTTTACATTGTGTAATATGTGGCTTAGGCTGTTTTTATGACCTGTGCTTTATTTCTACATTAAGACAATCCACATTTCAAAAAAGGAAAAGTTTGAATAATTTCAAAGTGAACTTGCCAAAACCAGCATTCGGAAGCATGGGTGCTCACACACACAAACACAAGGAAACTTTCCATTTACCTAAAAACGGGGCTTACCCTTTGTAGCTAAAATACAATCATTCTTATTTTTAGGTTACCGTGAGAAAAGGTATGTGGGTGTGATTCCTGCAAATGGATTGCCAGTCTCTTAACAGTTCATCATTCTTAAATGATGGAAGTATAGCAGCACTCTTCTGAGAAACATCTCTTCTGTAGATTTTACTTTGTCCATGCCAGGACAAAGTGTGTGCTAAGTTGGAATAATTCTGAGATGTGAGATACTTCCATGACTGTCCTTGGACTACCAAGGAGCTGGCATTCCTCTTTAGAAGATGAGGAGAGAATGTTCCCTGACCTTTTAATTGATGATTTACTGTGCTTTTCCCTGGGACCACAACTGATGATCTGTAAGCTTGTTGAATTTTGAGGCAAATACTAAATATAATCAATATATAAAAATATTTAAAAAAGGAGAGAAAAAAATGCAATGAAAATTTATGACCTTAACATTCCTTCAGGGTCAAGCAATTTATCAAATTCTCTCACTTTCTGGTTTCAATTACATAGCTATTGTGGAAGGAACTTATTTTAGCAGGTTCATTTGCCTCAGTGGGGAATACAGGACTTTGGCCTAATGCTTCACCTTTAGTGCAGGCCATTTGAGCCTTAGAACAAATACCAATCATCACTCTTTGGGAAAAAAGAATCTGCATCGGCGTGGCCTATTGGAATGGAGTTTCTGTCAAGGTAAACGGTTGTCGGCAATGACTGTGGTAGAGTGGCGATAAATCCCATTTTATTGCTGAAAAATTCCAGCTTCTCTCCATGCCTGACAGCTCCCCACATTCTCATACCCATTTGGGCAATTTCTGCACTATGTCCATCTGGTTCTCATTACCTCTCAACCTGCCTGCGTCTGATCCAGAAAAAGAGCAGGTCAGAAATGGGGCTGGGTTGCGGGGGGGTTGGGGGGAGCAGGAAGAAACCAAGGTGATGAACAAAACAGAAAGCAGGGGGGTGGCCCGTGGGGTTCAGGGAAGAGTTGAGGTTGGGCAGAGTGGGGATTCCAGCTAAGGCTCTGAGTGGTTTTGAGAAGGGGCCATGTAGATTATTCAAAAGGATCATGACACAGCTGGAGCCAGAAGCCAGAGAAACTTGTATCTTTAGACCCAGACATTAAAAAGACACCTGTTTTAAGGTGAAAGAGAGAGAAAGGAGAGAGAGAGAATGTGGTAGGTAGGGGAGGGAGAGGAGGAATCTCTAATAAGGGCACTGCCGGCTGGATTATCAGAGTAGAGGACCTGTTCTAGAAAGGCTTGGAGCACCGTATACACAGTTGGCAGGCTTCTAAATATGCGGATCAAACTCTGCTGGAGATTCGATTTTGGTTCAAAAACATATGTTTTTGAGGACAAAGAAAACTCTTGGCTCTCCAACCTTATTGTCTCCATTCATCTTTCAAAGAAGAATAATATTTAAAAACTAACTTGTCTTAATTAGGGCATTTAGAATGACAGGACTAGCATTGAGTTATTTGGGAATCCATAACGCTACATATAATCACTTTTGGAAGGGAGTGCATTTATGCCTTCAAAAAGTTGGCCTCATTTTCTGAAGCTGAAATCCTTTTGATCATAATTACTTCTGACCTAAAATTGCCCAAGTCGCCATACAATGCCACGCTGGGACAAAAATGAAATATGTATTGTAAGTATCTGATAACAGATATAAACTATCAGCCAACTTAAATAGTATCAAAAGTTAAACTAGGATGAAACTATACAATTATATATTTCTGAATATGAAATTTACTCATTAGTATTATTATTTTGATGCAGTAGATGGGGCCACTGTAATAAATACTAAAATAAGAGGGGTTAAAGTATATTGAAGTAAAAAAAGATCTGAGAGCTTTGCATAAAAATTAGAATCAGATGAATGATTGCATAGATGTAGTTATTTCACCACCTGTTTTGAAGTCAGATTTTGTATGCAAATGTCTTAAAACCAGGTATGATTGTGTATTCTTAAATACGTTGGAGAGCTGTGGGATTGTTATGATTTGTAGACAGAATCTCTTGTGTTAGATGTGTTTGGATGAACATATTGGATGGTCTCTTAGTGCCTTCTGATCACAGGGGTCCAGAGTGCATTTCAGGTCCTCAAAATGGACATTTTCGACAGTCAGAACCCCCAGTACTGCATTATCTGTTTTTCATTGGTTGAATTCCAATATCAAAATTATGTTAAATTTTAGTTGCTGAGCCAGGCCCTTTAGACAAGAAACTGACTTCCAATACTGGGATTTAATTTCTAAATTTTCAAGTCATGAATGCTCAATGGAGATTTTTATGAAATGTACCTGAAATTGAAAATGAACCCCATATAGACATTTAAATTGATAAATTGTTGCTAAAAAATTTAAATTAAAATGACAAGATAATTTGGACTGATGTACATTAGAAATCATCAAAAATGATGTTTGCTAGCTTTAAAATGAATACTCTAATCAACAAATAAAATTCTAAAACAGACGTTTTCACATGGACATATTAAAAGGCATAAACCTTTAGTGAGGGTCACATATCTATTAAAATGGTCTTGATTTTAATGGTGTCTCTAATTTGCAAAGTAATTTCATCTTCTTAGCCAAGAAGAATCCTGCTTGAACTTTACTTTTCTAGGCTGTACATATATCAGAGAAACGTGATCATTTAAATTCTAAAGGATGTTTGTTTCTTTTAATAGCATAGCAGAGAATTAATGGCATGGGGGAGGGGAATGTGACAACTTAACTTGATGCTTGATAGCTGTTTACTTATGAATGTGTGCCACAGATTTCAGTGTCTGTAAAAGAAGGGGAAATAAAGAAACCGATGGCTTTTAGGGAACTTAAGACACGTGGAAGAAAGTGCTTAGAAGGCTATTGAAATATTTACAAAACAAATCATTTACATTAACTTTCTTATATGTAGGACCCCGAGTGCCCATGAAAAGATAGAACCAATTCTGGCTATGAGAAGTATTTCAGCATCAAAATGGTTAATAGTATTATAGCTTCAAAAGAGCCTATTGGCTCACCCTCAAGGATGCCCTGCAGTTGTTGTTAAAGTCATCAGATGAAGCTAGCCTTCTCAGCTAGCCTTTAGATTTGTCTGCTAACAGTAAAAATACTATAATAAATCGGTAACATATGTTGCCAGGCAAGGAAAAGTGATTTAAATAAAGAGACTGGGAGACCCAAACCAAGTACAATGTGAAAAGAATTTAACTTTCAATCTATTTGCTGGCTAATTACCATTTGAAAAGTAATTTGAAAGTGTTACTGTTATTTGCTGATATTCTTCCTCATTTTTCGTTTTTTCCTCTTCAGATTGCATTCTTACCCAAATACTCTTCGTGATGGCCTGCTTTGCGGCTTTGGGGTAAGTCCCAGTTTTCCACAACCTTAAGAAAAAAAAATGCATAACATAAAAGATGTCAGAAAGACTTATGTGTCCTGATATTCGTGGTCTGTGAAATATACATGGGTTTGTTGCTGGGGGTGGGAGGGATTATGAAATAAAAAGAAGGGGTTTGTTTCTGCAAGGATCAAAAGTGTGCGAAAGTGTGCATATGTAAACGAGGCTCCCATCAGGAAAACCACCTCTGGAATGGAAATGACAAAGCTTGGAACACACACAATCAATTATTTTCACCAGCATTTAAAATACAGAAAACAAAATCTGCTTTGGGAATTGACTGAATATTTTATTTAGCTTTTTTATTGAGACATCCTTTGAAAAATGGTACAATATAAATAGTTTTACAAAGCAACAATATAATCAATCTCTAAACTAGAAAATAAATCAAGGATTTCATTAGCTGCTGGTAGCCAGTTTAAATTGTAGTCTTGCCCATAATGTCTATCTATCTATGTATGTCCATGTTATATTAAAAACCTTTAAATGGCTTTGTAATATCAGCTACATCTAGCTATTATAATAATTAATGGTACTGTTTTATAAATCAATACATGTATTCTTGATAAATTCATATCCAGTTAATGGTGTAATTTAAATAAAAAATTAATATAATAAAGGACATACAGAAACAGGCAGGAAATCTTTAAAGGTTAAGAGCCAAATTTGTCTGAATTCATTTTTAACCTGTTTTGGAAAAGTTTATATTTAAAATCAGCTGAGACTTACCTAGTTGCTGTAAAACTAATCTTGCCATTTCTGGTGGTATCTAGTATTAAATTTGTAAGATGTTTTTTGACTGTTGTTTTAATTACATAGTTAAAATACTGTGGAATATTTTACTGTCATTGTACTATTTTGTGACTATTGAGTATTCTTTAGAACAAAACAAACTAAAAACCTCATACCAGTAATTCATTTTTAATACACAAATGCATGTAAATGCTTTATTTTTTGAAAATCTCCAGATCTATGTACACATTTAGGGGGGAAAAGGGCTGATTAGGTCAATAAATTTGCATGTGTAAGAGCCGAGCATTTTCACTGCTTTCACTGAGTGAACATTCCAAGAATTTTAGAAAGAAAAGAAAAATGCATGGAAGGGTCCGAAATGTGTTTTAACGCTGCACCCGGGTACAGAAACATTCTACCAAATGATGAGTGTATTATTGTTCTAATTTAAAGAATACATACCAAAGACATATAACAAGATTTAGAAAAACAACCGAAGGTTGTATGTTATCAAATACAATATCAAATCTTTCCAAATAAAATTTCATTCGGTTTATAAGAGTAAGCATTTTACAAAAAATATCTTTCAAAATTATGCAGACCAGTCTGCCCTGCCATCTTCCTTGACATGGTGCAGAAATGTTCCTTTAATCCACTGAGGTTTTTCTGACATTTTTCTTAACATTGCTGAGCCTTATTTAGAGCACCAAAGGAGGCGTGTGCAGTTTCCTTTGACACTGATGGGTGTTTCAAAATGTTACACGAGAGAGAGCGGGGAGAAAAAAAGAAAGAAAAGATTTGCTGCCAGTCACTTCATCAATAGAGCTACACAAGCAATTACTATTTGTTAAAAGTTTACATTTCAAATGAAGCTAAATTTTAAAGAAGGCTCATCCTTTTAGGACTGGTGCTTGGAAGACAGAAGAAGAGAATACACATTAGTGATTACATGTTAAAGTGCACTCAAGTACTGGAACCATTTAAAATGTATTGTGTTTTTAGTTGAAACCTGCAGCAAAACCACTCCTAAGAGGCTTAATTTAGGTTTTATAGGCGGAACATAAAAAAGACCAGGTTACAGCAACATGCTGAAATATGGGGTACATTTTAAATATCTTCATTTAAAAACGTATGTTTATTTCCCCTCCTGGGATCACTAACGTGCATCTCCGCAGAGAAAGCAAGGACATGCATTCTTAAAAATTATCTGTTAAAGGGATCACATTCCAAGACAGGTTTGAGCATTTTTATTACTACAGATAACCTCTTAATTATGTCACTGCCTTCCACTTGTTAATCAGGGACATTCAACATAGTTAACCATAGAGTGGTTGCCTTTAGAAGAATACATTATTATTAAGGATTAGAAACACATTTTATTCCTATAATCATATTGCATTTAGCACTGCTAAAACCATACTTAACCTGCTTTAAATACATAACACCTATGAAAGAGTCTAGATGCCTATAACAATGTTGTTCATTACTTCAAACTGTGCAGTCCATGAAAAGCTTCAAGAGAGATCATTTTACTCTTCCTGTGTCCCCCCTCCACCTCCCCCATGTCCCACGCAATTCCTATTTGAATTGATTTTAGGTTTCTTGTGTAGCCACCAGCAACTGAGATACTCAGGTACTCTTTGAGAGACCAAGGTGTAAGTGAAGTAAATAAAATCATGTTTCACTGTTGCTTTATCAACCCTCCTAGGTAGTTTTTCTGCCAGCCAACCAGAGCTGTTAAGACCCACACAATTATGCAATAGTGACTTCTTTGGAGGTTCTCTAATCAGATAATGGCTGGCATTAGGAGGCAAGGGCCCAAGGCAATGTTGCTGGGTTGTCATTACACTGTGGTTGGTCATTACTTGTCTAGTAGAGACCAATAAACAGCTGATTACTATCCTATATGGAGCCAATATTTTACATTTATCCTAGTTATTTTTTCCTTTTCAAGTTCTTATAACAGGAAGTATTTGTTAAGAAGATCTATGAGAAATAGCCTCCCAGGCACCTTAAAAATAAGAATTTTCCTACCATGAAATGATGCCTTTTGTGGAAAGGTGAGAATGATTCTGGTTTTTACAGTAGCAAAGGTTTGATTTGTTTCAAGTCTATTTCGTTCAGACAGGGACACTCCCGACACCATCCCTGCTGCTCCCTGTCCCTTTGACAGGTTCACAGGCTGCAACTAAGGGATTTTAAAATGCAAATGTTTCTATTAATATTTGCACTCTGGCAATAACAGACCCATTTTGCTTCCTCTGTAAGCCTGTGATAATTGATGCTTTATAACTGGAACTATGTTTCATTTATCTCTTTACCCATTAAGATAGTGTATAGATAAAAGGTAATTTATGGAAAGGAACCAACCATTTGAAATAATAATCCCAAATCCAACTAAATAATCTTTTAAAGCTGTAAGAGTCAGAGATGGAGATTTCTAAACTTTTAAAGAAAACTTGATTGCAAACGGATAACTTGTGCATTTTTGAATGCTTATTGAATTTGAACGTCTGTGTGGGCCAAAAGAGAACCAGAGGGACAAATGGAAGTCAGGAAAGAAAAGGTGTGAATTTTAGATGTGTTTTAAATTAATGTATTTAATGACATATTAGACATATTACAATTTTATGGACTTTCTCTTTACGCTTGAATATAATTTTTTACTAGCTGATGCAAACTGCAAAATAGCGTGTCTCCTAAGGTGCCCTTCCTTCCCTGGGATCCTCATCATAGAATGAACAGAGGTACATCAATAAGAACTGGACCTTGATTTCCCAACCTCATATAAAGCCAGGCAATTCTTGAGCCAAACAAACAAAGGGGGTGTAAGCGATTTCATTTATTTTGATAATCCTCCTCTTGCACAGGAGCATTTTGCTGTCTTTGTCAAAGTGAATGACAACAATTTGGCCAACTCTCTCTGAGCTGCACTCAACAGTGACAGGCAAATTATCAGAGGCCCTGCACTTCTTATTATCAGAGGAGAAGCCATCAGGGGGACGCATGGAGGATACCTCTCCCTTGTCACTATTTGTCAGTGGGACAAGGGCCACTGCTATGGGTAGCTGACAGGTAATTTCAACAATAACAATTACTCCTATTACTGGTGTCATAAACAATTCACCCAAGGCATGACAATAGCAAAGCTTTATAATTCAATGCCATATAAATAAATGCCAGCAGGTAACAAGTAATTTAGCTCCAATCAAGCTTTCACCCCAGCATTAATATTGTTATTGCAAGAAAATGGAAAATTGAAAAAATTCAATATGTTAATGAATTAAGAGAGGTTCAAGGGCTCGACAAGAGGAGTTGGAAAAAGGAAACCAAAATTGTTGTAGTATCATATTTGGTGCCATCCTGGGGGCCAAACATCAGTATAATTACTTTAAGACAAGAAGGGGAACTGGAGTACCCTAGACCTCAGAGCAGGGGAAAATGTGACATGAGTTTTCAAAAAAATCCACCTAGCTCCAATTTCCGAAGAATATGAGAGGAAATATGAGAATGTATGTATAATGTAGCATTTCCCTGGCTTTCTTTTTCTACCTGAAATATTTCATATAAAGAAGAGGCACGAGTATCTAAGGAATGTTTCCATCTGTTTAAGAAAATCGTATCAGCACCTGCTTCCTTTACATGAAGTCTCATAATGAAACTATTTTAATAATCCTTTTTTATCTGGGGTGAAGGTAAAGCTGAAAGTCATCTTTGCTCTCCAGCTGTCCACCTTTTGGAAGTGGACTAGAGGATACAGTGTTATCTTCATATGTAAAACTTCCTGATCAAACCAATTTGCAATTTTAGTATTTGTCCGGCAAGACAATGTGCCATCACGGTGACAGCAGTAAAAGAATCTGAAAATCTCTAATTAGGAGAGCTGCACACCAATTAACGCATGTCAAATTTCACTTCATCAAGTGCCACTCTAATTTTCCCTCTAAAAATTAATGGATTTTTTTTCTTTTGGTATGTGTGTGTGTCCCCTTAAGGCAATGTTGATTCAAATCTGCTCAAGATGCAGTGTTGCACAGCTAAGCATCTTCTTGATTACAATCCGCCACACTTCTAACTGCGCTCATTCGCACTGCCACGGATACTTTGTCAACAGTCAAATTACACCACGCTGATAACAATGCATAATGGTGTTCCTCCTCCAGTCCCCTGTCAGGAGAGGGGCTTCATAAAAATGTGATGTTTTCTTCTCAACTGTTTCTAAAGGAAGTTTATATGACCAGGTCCTCAGTCAGGCGTTAGTTTTTTAAATTAATTTGTTAATTTCAAATAAAGAAGAAGGAGCAAAATGATGGCATATGAAAATTCTTCACTGAAAAAAAAATCAGCGGAAGAATGAGGAATGGAGAATATCTGTGGCCAAAGTTTTGCTTAAACACTTTGTTCGGAGACATTTTCAAGAGCACTATTCTTGGTTAAATACCAGATTTTTTTTTCTTTACTTATGGTCTATAAACATTGGAAGCCTCTCTTGAACAGACTGTATTTAGATTGTGCTAGAAGTTTGTTTAACTGCCATATTTGCCAGAATCCTCAAAACATCACAGGACACAGAAGACAAATGACTTTTTTTTTGGTGGGGGAGGAATAAGGGGGTCAGGACTGTATATTCTGGTTAAATGTCGATTCACTTTTAACTATTTTTTATCCTAGTTGCTTGTTTCAGATTGGTGTGTCTGAGGCATTAGCACACGTGGGGAATATTTCTCACTGAAAAATGAAAGAAAGAAGTGCAGTCATTAGAAGATGATTTTACATTTTGTCTTTTTAGAGATTATTCAGATTTCTTATTTTTAAAAAACAATCAGATCGAGAACAAAAACAAGGAAATTAAACAAAATTTAAAATATATTCCCTTATAGATTCTTTAGGGAGTAGAGAATATTCACACGGGTTGACATCCCAGTTTTCTCAGCATGTATAAACATATTGTAATCATATTTATTCACTAAAAATTTAAATTCATGAGATGTACACTTCATTTTTTTTTAATTTGTAGGACAAATCCAGCTTCTTATTCACTGATGACTAACTCAAAAATATAAAAAAATATTTTTAGGTTCGTATTTCCGAATATTAAAAGTC